ATTATAATGGGTAAAAAGTCAACCATGGTCAACATACAGTCAAACCTCAAGATTTTGGTCAACATCAACATTTTGAAGTTACATTCATCATTTTATCAAAGGTTGATCATGATTCCTCAAGAAAAACTCTCAAATTATCAAAAGTCAAAAGTTGCTAAATTAGGGTTTTCTTAGGAGAAGTCAATTGAACTTTGACCAAGCATAACTTTCACATGCTTCATCATTTTTTTCCCAACCAATGCTCATTTTGAAGAAAATTAAATTATCTACAACTTTGTATCTCTAAGCTCAAGTCCAAAAAATTCTTCATTTGAGAGATATGGGTCAAAACAATACAGGTCATTTCAAAAGTCAACAAAAAGATACTTTTTATAAAGGCCACTTACATTAAGATAAGGTCTTCAAATGCAACAATGATCAACATAAATATTGTAGAGGACACTTTCGGCTTTCTAAAAAACCAAATAAAACTTTCAAAATATGATAATTGAGAGAGTTATGGCTAATGCAAGTTGGGAAATTTTGAGTAAATGCATGAAATTCAAATTGAGAAAACTTGATATTTTAGACTATTGGGCCATTGCTTTAAAGTCCAAGTGTGTATTACACTCCTTATACACCTTAGATCTTATTCATGCACCTCTTGATCTATTTTATTTTTATTTATTCATTAATAATTCAAAATTAAATAAGATAAAATATAAGGCTTCTTACATAAAGTCCAAGCTCATCTTATCTTTGACCTAGTTCATGCTATATATTCTACACTCTTCATACAAGAAAGACACAAAACCCTTATATCAAAAACTTGTCCAAAATCTCAATTTTTTAAGAACCCTAAGACAATTCAAAACCATACTTACAATGCCTTTCACCATAAACTAATCATCCTATTCATTCCCAGTAAGGTCATAGGGTAAGATCAGATTGGTTGCAGCGAATCAAACGGCCAAAAAAACCTTTGCATGCATCATTGTTCTCTTTTCATTACATAAATTCATATTTTTGTTTCCTTGTTGTTTTGATTGTAACTAACATCTTTTATGTGTTTCTGAGGTTCCAAAGGGAAGGAAAAAACCACCGTGGAGGTCCCATGCTGGCCAAATCGTGAACCACCATCTTTGTACCGATTGGAGTAGTTTTCACCATAGCTCTTAAACCATTAATTTTCATACCAAAACAACTGTCCCATTGAACTCGTAACCCTTGATTTAGGGGGTAGGGTACTTTTGGCTTTCTAATAGTTGCTATTTTGCAGGGGCGAAGGATTGACTCACTAGAGAAGACGACCAGAGCTAGGGCTCCGGCGCCTCTCTGGTCTATGCCTCTTTGCTTAATATTTATTTTATTGGTTTGATTATAATGAACGAATGTATTATCGCCCCAGCAGTTGAAGTGCACACATTAAGGACATATTATGCCAAGGCGTGGGTTCGATCCTAACCTTTTGGCATTTTGACATTTTTTATGATTTATTTGATTTTACAGATAATAAAGCACACTGGTTTCCTCCCTTTGTCACCAAGGCACGCCTGGCCTTATGGTGAAGATGCTGCGTGAAAGGGTAGAGGGCGAGGGCTCAACACCCAACCCTGGTAACTTTTTTAAACCCTTATTTTCTTACCATTTTCACTTATAAAACCCTAAATTCATCAAACTAAACAATTTTTTTATCAATTAATTTTCTCACAAATCCTAACCAACATTAGGGTTTACTTTTTTTGTTAATTAATAAACTTTCTTATTTTTTTCAAATTAAAATTAATTAGGGTTTTTAGGTTTTTTAATTAATTAAAATTAATTAGGTTATTAGGTTAATCGTCAAAAACTCTTTTCTAACAAAAATCAATCCAAGCAATTTCCTTTTCCTTTTCCTTTCTTACCGCTTCATGTATTTTATTATTTTCGCATTTTTCGATTATTGTAACGGCTTACAGTTTGTAATAGTTAATTAGGGTTTCTTTTTTCTTGGATTTTTATTACATGTACCCCCCCCCCCCCCATCCTCTAAGCCCTGTAATAGCGTAGACTTTTATTTTTCCGCACTTATATTTTTAAGCTTTGTATACATTACTGTTATCTTAATAGGATTATATGGCAAGAATAAAAACAAGCGGTAGAAAAACCCTAATGCAAGATAAATGAACTGAATGTAATACACTCGCACACTCACACCTCTAAGGTAACCTCACTTGCTGCATCGACAAAAACAGTCATGTCCCTCGAACGTGGGGACGCTTTAGCATTGTCCCTCGGTTAAAAAGATCGTATTCCCTCAATGACCCTTTCAATGTTGCCTTCAGTAAACGATCTAGTCTCTTACGAAATTGCTAAAGCAGCCCTACTAGTTTCCTTTGATGACTGTATGATGACCCATGTCTGTCCCTTCACATCCAACGATAGAGCTTCCTACTAACTAATGGTAGGGTAGCACTATCTAAAGGAGAAGGAAAAGAACGATAAAGACTTTGAGCAGGTAGATACCTTGTAATCGCTTGCTTACAAACAAAACAAAACATCTTTTTACACAAACACTTTCAAAACTATTTTAAAACAAACACTTTGTACGCATTCTCAAGAATCATTACAAAGTTGCCTTACTACTGGCATTTCTAAATAATTTTCAAACACACAACACAAGGCATTTTCAAACAAAGTGGGCTAGCGATTAAGAGTCTGTAGATAACTACGGTTGAAAAGGGTGCTAACACCTTCCCTTTTCATAACCTACCCCTAGAACTCAATAAATCTCAAAGATCTTTCATGTTCTTTTCACCCTTTTCTTTTTGGATAAAAGAAAAGTCGGTGGCGACTCTTTCTATCTGCAACATTTGCGATAAAATGCAAAACAAGTCAGTTCTCCCACTGTATTACAGATGTTCTTTTGGACTTTCCTTATGGGAGTTAATCTAGATATCTTCTTCTATGTGTGTGATCATTAATTTGTCAAGAGAATGTCATTACAAAAGTCATCAAGTACATCATAAACCATCACATTCCAAGGCCATTTCTCCTTTACAAGGTTATGTTTCGACCAATATGTTACAAAAGTTTCTCAAGGTCACATTACATCAAGGAGATATACCAAAATTACATCAAAAGACTTATTTCCAAATCCTAATGCCTATCCTTCCACCTTCATTCTTTCCATCATTCTTCATGTTTTAAACCTTGTCGTGACCAACCTTTATGCCTTCCAAAACCTTTATGATTTTATATTTTCCTTTTCCAAACTTCAAGTCCCTCATGACCATGTGCTTCTTTGCATACTCAGTTCACTTTCATTTGCAATTACTATTCCAAAGATTTCTTGTACCAATGCCCTAGCCATGACAATACATCAACAACCAAGTTGCACATGAATAAAAAGCCAATTAAACTATGCTAACACAAGATAATTCATGAACCTGCCATGCATTAAACCAAATTGGGTCGACTATCCACAAAAATAATCGGTTTAAACCTTAACCTTATTGTAATCTAACCTTATTGCAATCTAACATCTCTAATTGCCAACAATAACAGGGAGCTAACCTAACTAACAATTTTCTATAAAAAATTTCACTAACATAAATAGCCCACAGGAAAATCAGTTAGCACTTTATGTAGCAATATCCAAACATAAACCTGCACTATATCTACAAACCAGTTTTTGTACTAACTAATAGCTCTGCATTAGTTTAAAGAGAAAATCTAGAAAATACAAAACTCAAACTCAGAAAAGTGCAAACCGTGAAAAATTATATCATAACAGAAATTGAGATAAGCTGTAAACTCAAAAAATCAGAAAGCTCATTAAATCTAGGATTCCAATCTCACCATTCAGTTATTGTAACTAACTCTTAGATCAAAGGCTAGGATTTCTTCTACTATAACAAACTCTTTCCAATCTCAACAGAACTGTATAACATAATTCATGCTTCAATCATCTTCATTCTTAAATCAGCATGAAGAATCACCAAAAAACTCCTCTCTCTCTCTCTCTCTCTCTATATATATATATATATATATATATATATATATATATATATATATATATATATATATATATATATATATATATATATATATATATATATATATATATATATATATATATATATATATATATATAACTATATCTATCTCTATCTCTATCTCTATCTCTATCTCGATATCTATCTCTATATCTATCTATATATCTATATCTATCTATATATCTATATATCTATATATCTATATATCTATATATCTATATATCTATATATCTACCTCTACCTCTACATCTACATCTACCTCTACCTCTACATCTACCTCTACCTCTACCTCTACCTCTACCTCTACCTCTACCTCTACCTCTACCTCTACCTCTACCTCTACCTCTACCTCTACCTCTACCTCTACCTCTACCTCTACCTCTACCTCTACCTCTACCTCTACCTCTACCTCTACCTCTACCTCTACCTCTACCTCTACCTCTACCTCTACCTCTACCTCTACCTCTACCTCTACCTCTACCTCTACCTCTACCTCTACCTCTACCTCTACCTCTACCTCTACCTCTACCTCTACCTCTACCTCTACCTCTACCTCTACCTCTACCTCTACCTCTACCTCTACCTCTACCTCTACCTCTACCTCTACCTCTACCTCTACCTCTACCTCTACCTCTACCTCTCTCTCTCTCTCTCTCTCTCTCTCTCTCTCTCTCTCTCTCTCTCTCTCTCTCTCTCTCTCTCTCTCTCTCTCTCTCTCTCTCTCTCTCTCTCTCTCTCTGCAGAATCATATCAACCTTCATCTTCAACAATTGTAATTCTCCAAACTTCACCTTCCCTAAAACTCTCTCTATTTTCTGCAAAAACCTTCATCATCGCTGCATCTTTAAGACTCTTGGATCTATCTTCATCAGTGCTCTCTCTCTCTCTCTCTCTCTCTCTCTCTATCTGAACCATAGCAAGGTGAAACCACATCTCCAATCTGAAACCTCTGCATTTTCTCCACAACAGCCCGCATCAACACCTTTATTCATCATCACTTTGCTTCATACCGCTATCATCAATGTTCTGCAACATCAACAGAACAACCATGACGAAAGTGTTTTATACAATGTTCATTTTATACCACAGGAAAACGCAACGAGAACACAAAGGATCGTGGAATCAAAAAAGAAAAAGAAGAAGTTAAGGAACAAGAAAATCAAAAGACTAAGAGATTCATAAGCCATATCTGAATCGAGTTCCTCTCTTCTCCACCGATGAAGCTATGTTGCATGAACCTTGGAAAGCCTTCGAAATCTGGCGTCCTTGAAATCTCCATTTTGTTCATTTAAACAAAGGCTGAGATTGGAAACAGTGAGATCAAATGAAACAACGTGAATCGGTGGACGATTTCGATACGGTGGCCTCTCGTCGAGAGGAAGCGGATCGGAGAAGAAGGATGAAGGTTCGGCCGCCGTTGCATTTTGGTAAAAGAAAAGAGGAGTTCTGTTTCTAAGAAAGATGAAACAGCTTAACCTAGCCTCAAGTGGCACACATGTTTACTGTGTATCCATTTTTGCTTAATTGCTTAAATTCTATTTCAATAAAAATCCAATAATTTTTTTATTGTTATTTTTGAATAAGCTGAATGTAGAGTATGAGACTGTGTATTGGACCGTGATACCTTTCCCTTGGGCCAATCCTAACTTTTTTTGGGAGGGTTCTGGACAAAAAAGGCTTATTGAACGTGATGAGTTAGGCTTAGCGCCGTAACTTGTTTCAGCACCACTAGCTACAGCTTTGCATCCTCCCGAAGCTTTATGTTCTATACTTGTTTCAAGTGCACTTTTGATAAAATGTTGTGATTGAATCTTTGTAATATTGGTAAGTGAAAGAGATATTGGTGAAGAATTGCAAGAGAAAATTCAAAGAGGCTTTTAGTAGAGTTTTCTTATCGCTTGCGCGCATTGAAGAAGCAACGAACCTCCTCGGTTCGGTACCACTTGAGATATCTTTACTATATCATTCGTATATCAATTTCAATTAATTTTTCCATGAGAAGTAGGACTAGATATGCATGATAAAGAGTCCCTAGTTTAGGTGGGCAATGCTATTTTAAAAGACCTGTAGCTGGAAATTCCTATGTGCGCTTGTTTGTTTACCATTCGGTATGTTTACATTTGTGCCAAATACCTCGATGAAGGCGTCTGATTCCCATTCCCCATTGGTAAGTCCTCAAAGAAGGCGAGTGGGAAAGGGTCCACAATTGACCCCTACAATTTCTATTCTACAGGTCATTCGTAGCTCAGGTCGTACGTCGATGCTACGAATCGTGCTATTCTTGTTATCGAGTCAGTCAAATAGAATACAAGGATCTGTAAGCAATCCCCCACGTTTGTCATTAGCTCATGTGCCGTGCACGTTGACACTCCGATGTGATCTCATTATTTCCTTCTATCTTCTACCTCGATGATACGATATATTGGTTTTGTGTTTAGTTGCTTATGACTATTCACTCTCGTTCTTCTCTTGCCTAGATAATGTGATATCTTGGTTAAGAGTTGATACCCCTTATTCTTCTTGCCACGATGACGCACTATCTTGGTTAAGAACTACCTATTCCCCCATTTTTGCTTGTCTCGATAACTCGATATCTTGATTAATACTCCCTTTATCCTTCCTTGGTGGCTCAATATCATGGTTAGGTGCCCCTTCTCCCTTGTCCTACCTTGATGACATGATATCGTGGTTAGGCGTGATCCCTCTCCCTTTCCTTCCTTAGTAACATGATACCTAAGTTAGGCGTTTGCTACTTAAGTGAGTGGATACTCCCAAACTTTGTATGTTTACTTTACATTGCATGATTACATGATCCCGTAGTATTTCTCGATTTAATATTAGGAAGTGAATTGAGATAGACCTTAGGTTTGCAGACCCTGCCTGACAACTCTAGGCTTACTTTGCTAGTTTCCCTTAGGCCTTTTTCTTTCTCTTTTGCATTCGCATTAAAACTAAAACTTCTTTTTTTTCCTTTCAACTTCAAAACACTTTAATAATACAAAAACTCTTTTTCAAGGTAAAAAACACCAATCAATTCAAACTTCATTTTTCCGCTTGGCTTTTCTTTTAAAACGCTTTTCAAGGTAAAAAAACATACAACAAACCAAAACATGTGAGCCGAACTACAATGGTCTGATTCCTCGAAAGGGCTACGTAGGCATTAAGTCGTGGGGCCTAGGCGAGCAAAAATTTGTAAATATTCCTTCTTTTCCCTGTATTTTCTTTCGCATGCATTCCCTCTTAGTATTAAGCTTTATACATAGATTTTTACACATCCTTAGATTAGAGCAAACTTAAGTGGATCTTGTAGAGTACCACACACGCGTGGAGTGTTAATACCTTCCCCTTGCGTAACTGACTTCCGTACCCTTTCTCTTGGTGGCAAGACCATCTTATCCATTTCTTTGGGGTTCTCTCGATATCTTCCATTCCTTTGAGATAAATATAGTTTGGTGGTGACTCTGTATTTTTCGCAGCGCGACAGTATGGAAATGAAAGAAACCTAAAGTTAAATACTTTCATATCTTCGGAAGTATATGCCAGATCTTTACTGACAAAGATCAAGTGGACAAGAAGGATCCCACAGGAGTTGAAGAGATATTTTTGGGTTACTCTTCAAGAAACAGAGTTTATAGAGTTTATAACTCTATAACTGGAATGACAAGGAATCCATCAATGTGAAAATTGATGATTCAATTACTGAAGAGAAAGTGGATGTCATAGAAAATATTGTAACATCTTATGTGCAAACTGATGAAGCACTAAGGGAGGAGATTTGTGAATTCACAAACACCGAGTCAGTGAATTCTCAATCCAGTAAAGGTCTGTATATTAAAAGATAGATAGATCAATCCAGGGATCTAACTATAAGTCACCCTGATAAAGGTAACTTCACTGAACTTAAATAGAAGATGTCAAATACAAATGGATGTATTTCCTTAAGGGAAACAAGAGGGAGTTTCTATGATATAGTGTTTAAGAGATAAGATGTCAAGAAGAATGTCAAGACTTTTTATATTGAATATCTAACTTCTTTCAGATATCTCATTCAACATGGCTGGAACAAGAACCTTGATGGGAATGATCAACTAATCAAGAACCTTGTTAAAGGTAATGAAGATACTTTGATTATATGGACAACAAGGAATAACTTGTTATTATAAAAAACAATGGGATTGGAACTTGTACTATTAAAGAGTTATAGAAATTACAGATATGGAGGAATGTAACAATTACTGCATCTTTCCTCTATAATCTGAGGCATGACATGCCTGGACAAATTGCTACTGAGAAGGGATGGAAGGAAGGTGTTCTGCAAGATAGTGGTACTGGCTACAACACCGAGGAATGCATAGGGCTCTTTGACAGGGGCAAGAGGTTGAAGACCACCTGAATGTGACCAAGTGTTTGTGTTCTCCCATCTGTGGTATTGTTAGTATTCAATACATGTGCTTCCATCTATGGTATTGCTGGTGTGCAACATTTGTGTTTCCATATGTGGTATTACTGGTGTGCAAGATCTGTGCTTCCACTACATCTGTATATTTACTCCAATTTTTTGTCAATATTTTGGCTAAAAGGGGCGTAAAATGTTGGTGTATTTTGTGTGTCCTGATGTTACATCACATGTATTGACATGTTAATTTAAAATTGTGATAGGATTGTGTCCTACTGCTTTTGGGAGAGTAGTTATTATGGTTTCTTATGCAACTATTCAGGGGGAGAGTGATAGTTTGTCATGCTTGATTATGCTGAAGCTGCTGCTGCTTCTGCTGTTGTGCTGCATGTGCTTTGATATGGGGTTTTTCCCTTGAAGGTAGCACTAATTGTGTTTGATAGGGGGAGTAATAGATCTGTCTAATTGTACAAGCTATTCAGCTGTGTTAAGATGTGTTGTGCTTTTAGAAAGTTTACATGGTTTCATGTAACTTGTGTTTGTGGTTGTTTTAGACAAAATTTACCAAAGGGTGGAGATTGTTAGGTCTTTGATTTTATGGTTGGCAATAATTTTGGTAAAACAAAGAGTTGGCAACAATTTTATCAAAACATATTTCATTTCGAAAACATGTATTACAGCCTAATGTTGACCAACTTGTACAATAGAGTTTGCTAGTACTTATTTGACAAATGTTCTATCAGATGTTGTAACATGTTGCAACATAACATAATGACAGTACAAATGGTATGTATCCTTGAAAATTTGATTAGAAAATATGAGTTTCTAGAAGATCTTAGTACTCATACAGGCGCAGACAGTCAAGGATTTATTTAGGAACATGTGCAAATTTGATTTGTTTCATAAAAAGAATCTTTGAGACTTTTTAGGAAACTTTTGAAGATTTGTTCCTATTATTACGGAGAAATTTTTGCAGGGATTTACCACTGAAGATTGGATTTAACTGAAGAGTCCAAGCCAATCCAAGCTCAACTGCAAAAATCTATTTAGGGAGATGTCTAAGACCTAGTTTTTTAAGAATAATTTTTTGTAAAATCGTGTGTAAATAAGGGTTTAGGGATTAAGAGTTCCTTAGTTTCTGTGTGTTTTTGTACGTCCTCATGTATCTTTTGATGCATTTGAGTTGATGGATTGTTACTTATTTATCAAGTTATTGGTCTCCTATAAGCTTTTAAGCAAAGTGTTGAGTGTTGTTCTTAGTTGAAGCTTTTAAGCAAGACTAAGTATTTGTATTGGAAGAAATATATTCTTTTTTGGTTCCTTGAGACATTCCCTGGGATTGGGAGTGTTTGATATTACTGTGGTGATTGTGAGTGAAAGGGGTTCTCATATCTATAAGGTTCCTAGGTAGAAATTATATTGGGTAGGGATTAAGTGAGAAGTTGTAAACTGGGATTGTTTAGATTCAAATTGATACTACTGATAGTGGATTTCCTTCCTAGCTTGATAGCCCACATAGTAGGTGAAGTTGCACCAAACTAGTTTAACAATTGGTTGTGTTCTTTAAGTTTATGCATAATCTTTCTGCTTTTAGCAAGTTTATTTGCTGTCAGTAGATGTCGTAACATCTGTTGTGACATTGTGCTTGTGTGTTGAGACATCAGTCTTGACATTTATATTGTGTGTGCCAGAATTTCAACTTGCATATCATGATATGAAGATAAAGTTGCACTCATCATTGAATATATAGTTATGTTGATCAAGACAAGTGATGATAATCAAAGTTATGGTTGATCTAGTTTGAATATCAAGACATGATGATCAACTGTGCTTGTAGATCAAGGTATCAATGACTATATATGGAGAAAACACCTTACGTCAAGCAGAGTTTAGTGAAGTAATCTAAGATATCTAATCAAGCGGTTTGTATAATGATGAATAAAATTATGATAGTTCAGATTTTCAGATGTCCTATGACATGTTGGGACATCTGATCTAACATAAACAATACAGAAAAGGAACAACAAATAAAACAGTACTGAAAAGCATAAACAACACACCAGAGATGTTAACCCAGTTCGAAGCAACTCTCCTACTCTGGGGGCATACCAAGCCAGGGATAAAGTCCACTATAATAGTATCAATTGGAAGCTAAACTCCCCCGTTTACAACTTCTCACTTAATCACTACCCGTGTTATACTTTCTACTTAAGACTCACATATGTATGAGGCCCTCCTCAACTCCCCTTCAATCACAAACATCGATTGGAAACAAACAAGAAGACACACTTCCATGACAACAAAAATAGAAGACACACTTCAATGAAAATACTCATCAAGACACTTGACAAGAACACAACTTGGAGTTACTTACAAGCTTTCTCCAAGAACAATACTCACTCTTGCGTCAAAACTTCAAGGAGAACAATAATCAACTCATTACCTAAAGGCTTTTGAGTGATAACAGAACCTTGCAACACAAGGAACACAGTCCAACTTACGTGTCGAGTGGATCACACAACCAACTCTCCTAGAGAGTGGTACAAACTCACACCTAATGAGTACATCTTTTCAATTCTCGTCTGGTACAAAGACAAATCCCTAAACTTCTACATCTTGGACCCGTGCCTTTTCTATGTTACAAGCATTCTATTTATAACCTATTCCCACTGGATTAGGGCTTCTAATCACAACACATTAGCTGTTACAAATCACCAGAAACTTCTTCTACAAACAAGGTCTTGAATCATTACTTTCCTAATATATCTC